GAGTTTGATTAGGTCCCATTTGTTTGCTTTTATTTCTTTTGCCTTGGTAGACTGACGAATAATGAATGGGCAAAGGATCTGAGTAGACATTTCTTTAACAAGGTATACAAATGGCCAGTATGACCATGAAAAGATGCTCAACATCATTAGTCATCAGGGAAGTCAAATCCATAGTGAGATTCCACTTAACACCAACTAGGATGGCTATATTCAATAGACAGACAGGAGCAAGGATGTGAAGAAATTAGAATCTTTATACCTTATTTTTGGGAATATAAAATGGTCTGTCTACTTTGGAAAACAGTTTGTTAGTTCCCCAAAAGTTAAACACAGAATTACTGTATGACCTAGTAACTCCATGCCTAGATTTGTACCCAAGAGAATTGAAAACATGGTCAAATAAAACTTGTACAAGTATGTTCATAGCATCATTATTCATAAGAGCCAAAAGTGGAAACAACCCAAATGTTCATCAACTGTTGAATAGGTAAGCAAAATTTGATATATCCATACAATGAAATAGTATTTAGGAATGAATATTGACATGTGCTGCAATGTGGATGAGACTTGAAAACTCTATGGTAAGTGAAAGAAGCCAGTCAGGAAAAGGCCATGTATCTTATGATTCCATTTATATGAAATGTCCAGGATAAAAAAATTTATAGAGATAAAAAGCAGATTAGTGTTGCTTGGGGATGTGAGCAGGAGGAGAGAAACTGGGATTGAGTACTAAAGGTTACTGGATTTTATTCAGGGAAAATAAAAATCTTCTAAAGTTAGAATGTGATGATTGGCTATACAACCCTATGAATATATTTAAAAACATTGAATTACACATTTAAATGGGTGAATTATATGGTATTTGAATTATATCTCAAAGTTGGTTTAAAAAATAAAATGGCAGAAATAATGCTAAACACATCAATTATAATGTAAATATGAATTAAGGTCTTTTATTTAAAATTTTTTAAATCCTGAATGATGTGAATAAAGGTAGGGTAGGGAACTCCAAGAGTCCATATTGCCATAAAAATAATGAATCAACTGGCAAAAACTGTCAGAATCAACTTTTTTTGAACTCAGGAAATGATCAAAGGCTTATTGCTACTGGGGGAAAAGGCAATTAAGAAAAATCAGATGAACCTCGTTAAGAGAGGGAAGAGAGTGGCCAACATGGCAGATAGAAGGACCCCAAGCTCACCCCCTCTCATGAGCACACCAAAATCACAACTATCTGCAGAACAAACATCATTGAAAAAGACTGAAACCTACCAGAAAAGATCCTCTACAACTAAAGATATAAGGATGGAACCACAACTAGACCCATAGGAGGGGCAGACTTGAAATATAATCAAATTCCATATCTCTCAGGTGGGAGACCCACAAACTGGAGAATAATTATATTTGCAGAGGTTCTCCCACAGGAGTGAGAGTTCTGAGCCCCACATTAGGCCCCCCTGCCCAGGGATCCAGCACCAGAGAGAGGAGCCCCCAGAGCATTTGTCTTTGAAAGCCAGCAGGGCTTGATTGCAGGAGCTTCACAGGATTGGGGAAATAGAGACTTTACTCTTAAAGAGCGCACACAAAATCTCACTCATACCAGGACCAAGGGCAAAAGCGGTAATTTGATAGAAGCCTGGGCCAGACCTACCTGCTAGTCTTGGAGGGTCTCCTGTGGAGGTGGGGGGTGGCAGTGGCCCCCTGGGGACAGAGACACTGGTGGCGGACACAGTGGGGAGCATTCATCTGCAAGAACTCTCCTGGAGTCTGACATTTTGGTATCAAGACCTGGCCCCACCCAACAGCCTGTAGGGTCAAGTGCTAAACAGCACACCTCACGCCAAACAACAAACTGGGTGGGGATGTGTCCATCTACAAGCAGGCTGCCTAAAGACTCTCTGAGCCCACAGCCACCTCTAGACATACCCCTAGCACGGTCCTGTCCATCAGAGGACCAAGACCCAGCTCTACCCACCAGTGGGGCAGGCACTGGCCCCCCCTGCCAGGAACCCTACACAAACCTTTAGACCAGCCTCATCCACCAGGGGGCAGACACCAGAAGCAAGAAAACTACAGTCCCACAGCCTGCAGACCGAGTCCACAAATCCAGACCAGACACTACCCTGGGACCAGCTGGCCCCTGGCTCTTGGGTGATGAGAGGGGTGTGCACTGCTGGGATGCATAGGACGTCTCCTACAGAGAGCCACTTCTCCAAGGTTGATAAACTTAACCAACCTACCACATACAGGGAAATACAAGTAGCAGTTTAGACAAAATGAGGCAACAGAGGAATATGTTTCAGATGAAGGAACAAGATAAAACCCCAGAAGAAGAACTAAGTGATGTGGAGATAGGCAGTCGACCCTAGAAGGAGTTCAGAGTAGTGATCATAAAGATGATCAAAGAACTTGGGAAGAGAATGGATGCACAAAGCAAGAAATTAGAATTTTTTAACAAAGAATTAAAAAATATAAAGAACAACCAAACAAAATTGAAGAATACAATAACTGAAATGAAAAATACACTAGAAGAAATCAATAGTAGACTAAACGAGGCAAAAGAACAGATCAGTGAGCTGAAGACAGAGTAGTGGAAATCACTGCCACTGAACAGAAAAAAGAATGAAAAGAAATGAGGACAGTTTAAGAGACCTCTGGGACAACATCAAGCACGCTAATATTCGCATTATAGGGATTCCAGAAGGATAAGAGAGTGAGAAAGGGCCTAAGAAAATATTTGAAGAGGTAATAGCTGAAAACTTCCCTAACCTGGGAGAGGAAATAGTTACCCAAGTCCAGGAAGCACAGAGAGTTCCATATAGGATTAACCCACAGAGGAATACCCCATGATACAACCTAAATGTCCATTGACAAATGAGTGGATAAAGAAGATGTGGTGTATATATAATGGAATACTACTCAGCCTTAAGAAAGAATGAAATAATGCCATTTGCCATCTAGGTCCATGAATGGACCTAGAGTTTATCATACTAAGTGACACAAGTCAGACAGAGAAAGACAAATGATATCATTTATATATAGAATCACTTTTATATAGAATCTAAAAAGTGATACAGATGATACAGATGATACAAACTTATTTATGAAACAGAAATGGATTCACAGACATAGAAAAGAAATGTATGGTTACCAAAGGGGATAGTGGGGGGGGGGATAGAGTAGGAGTTTGGGATTAACATATACACACTACTATATATTATAAAATAGATAAACAGCAAGGATCTACTGTATAGCACATGGAACTATACTCAATATCTTATAATAACCTATAATGGAAAAGAATCTGAAAAAAAATCTACATATATATATATATATATATATATATATATATATATATATATCACCGAATCACTTTGCTGTACACTTGAAACTAATACAACATTGTAAATTAACTAAACTTCAGTTTAAAAAAAGAGGCTAGTGGTGTTTTACCTTACCCTGATCATGTCTCAACTTCCCAGCATCCGTGTTACAGGTACTTAGTAATGGAGGGAGCAGAACAAACCTTGTACTCAAAGAACTGTAGTTGTTTTAACCTGACTGATGGTTCTCTGAAAGGTTAGTTCTAAGAGTTTGTCTTTCTTTTACCTAACTCAGGATTCTCCCAGAGCTGAGGAGGCTACCTGGGGGTGATTGTCAAAAACAATTTAAAGGCAAATGTATTAGTTGGTGGTGCCCAGTGCAAGGGTATACAATTAGTGTAAATAATTAATCAAAAAATTTGCAGGGAAAGGCTGAGGATTGAGATGCCTTGGGGAACAAGGGCTTTGAAAACCTCCCACATACTCTGAGAAATCTAGAAGGCCATATGCATGCCCAGGGATGGGTACATGATCAGAAAAGATCCAAGAAGGTCCTGACCATTAGTCTTTTATGCAAGCAGGAAGTGAGAGCTAAGGTAGAGTTTTAATCTGCCTGACTGAGTCTTGTTGGCTTGCCCCAACACACACACAGAGCCCATCTGCCAAGACTAGATTAGGACTTTTGATGTTATTGTTTGTGGTGTTTAAAGAAATCTCTTGGATCACTAATTGATTGCTAAAGTAATAGAACAGAGACGTTAGGGGCCATAATGACAAAGAATATAAACTTTAGAAAATTAGTTCAGAAAACTCACTAAACAAATGTACAACAAGTACATCAAGTAGCAAAAACAAAACCTGAGAGGAAGGAGAATCTGATTTCCAGAGTTGCCACATTATAATATTTAAAATGTCTTGTTTTCAAGAAACAGTTGCAAGGCATGCAAAAAAAAAAAAAAAAAAAAGAAAAGAAAATTGGCCCATACACTGGGAAAAAAAATTAATAGAAAGTGTCCCTGGGGAAGCCCAGACATTGGCCTTAGTAGACAAAGGTTTAAAAAAAATTTTTTTTTTTTGTGGTACGTGGGCCTCTCACTGTTGTGCCCTCTCCCGTTGTGGAGCACAGGCTCCAGACATGCAGGCTCAGCAGCCATGGCTCATGAGCCCAGCCGCTCCGCGGCATGTGGGATCTTCCCGGACTGGGACACGAACCCATGTCCCCTGCATCAGCAGGCGGACTCTCAACCACTGTGCCACCAGGGAAGGCCTAAAATTTTTTTTAAATATTCTCAGAGAACTAAAGGAAAACATGTGAATGATATGTAACCAACTGGATAATGTTAATAATGAGATAAAAATTTTAAAAGAACTAATAGAAATTTTGTAGCTGAAGAGTACAGTAATTGAAGTGAAAAAAAATTACTTGAAGGGTTCAGCA